GGGGCCGGGAGGACGCGGAGGCGCGGCTGCGGGAGGTGCGGAAGGGCGCGGACGAGGCGGCGCTGGCGCGGGCCGAGCTGGAGAAGCGGGTGGACAGCCTGCTCGACGAGCTGGCCTTCCTCAAGAAGGTGCACGAGGAGGAGCTGGCCGAGCTGCAGGCGCAGATCCAGTACGCGCACCTCTCCGTGGAGATGGACGTGTCGGCCAAGCCCGACCTCTCCGCCGCCCTGCGCGACATCCGCGCCCAGTACGAGAAGCTGGCGGCTCGCAACATGCAGAACGCTGAGAGGAGTTCTGGGCCCCCCGCGGCATGAACGAGGCGCTGGAGAAGCAGCTGCAGGAGCTGGAAGAGAAGCAGAGTGCAGACATCTCTGCCCTGCAGGTGAGGGGGCCGGGGGGGGCACCCCACCCTTGGGGGGGGGGGATTTCTCCCAGCTCAGGTGCCAGTTCTGCGGCCGTGCCACGTAGCTAAAGTATCATAAAATCACAATGCAAGATGCCACAGAGCTGTGATGCGTAGGGTACCATTTACCTATAGTCTGATAAAGCCTGAACTGTGTCAGGAAAAAAAACAGCCTTAAGCTAAAGCTAGGCAAAGCACGTAGAGCCGAAACCAAAATGAAGCGATACGTGAGTTTCACGTGTGCTTTAGTCCTTGGATGGCAGAAAAATAGGCTCCTGACATTAATCAGGGATGGAAAAATAGGGTGTAGATATAGGGGTGGGGAAACCCTGCAGGGAAGGTGGAATTTGGTAAATGGTGCCTTTATGGCCAAGGGCGGAGTTGGAGCCGTTAGCTTCCTCTGTCTGCTTAGAGCAAGATTTAAGTTAATAGGATTGGAGAAATTCCTTGCAAGGCGTTACTGCTAGACATGGGAGAATTAAGAATTTTACGCTGTCAATGTTGTTACTTCCAACAGGATACAATCAACAAATTGGAGAACGAGCTGAGAACCACGAAGAGTGAAATGGCTCGGTACTTGAAGGAATATCAAGATCTGCTCAATGTGAAAATGGCCCTGGACATCGAAATTGCAGCATATAGGTATGAGGGGGGGAAAGTGTTAGTAAGTCAGGACTCGGATCAGGTTCCCATTCTCTCTTCAAGAGAGCTCATTTCCTTTATCATTCCTCCAGCAGAAACTTTCATAGATAGATGTCAGAGTTTAATCAGGTCTTCTCCGTTGTCTTGCTATTGGAAGAAGCAGTCAGTGCTTTTGAGGTAAAATATTGGCTTAAAGCAAAATCTTCAATATAGCAAACCTGAGTGAGTATAAGAGTATGTAAGTTGTATATGCATACAGAGCTCTTAGCTTGGCGATACATGATCTCAGTTCTCCATCTTTACAGATAAAAATACCTGTTATGTGCATACAGTGAAGAGATTTTGATTCAGTGGATCTTCTTAATGGAGATGGCTGTATTCTCAAAATTGGAATCCCTTACATGTTTTTAAAAAAAGGCTTTTGTTTCTGACTCCCAGAAGCAATCCCCTGCAAAGCAAATATTTTACAGCAGAATTGCTGCTAAGTAGCTGTCTAGTGTTTTGTCCCAGATCCTATTAGAAATTTCAAATGCCAAAACAGAGTTTCTATGAATGCTGCAAGGGGGGATGTTGAGAAGGTGGCTGTAAGCCTTGTCTAATAGCTAAACACAACATCGTTACATCTGCATTGTTCTCTGCACCCCTGCAGGCTACCAAAAATACACCTTTAATTTCACCTGCTATAGGAACCTAATCCTGTAGGTTTTCTCCCCATTGTTTCTTCTAAAAAAGAAAAGTATTAATTTACCAGTAGTGCACACTTCCGAAACTTTCAAATTATTCCAGGAAGATAGGGTAGCATTGCCACAGTTACTCATTATGGGCTGGTTTTTGCACTCCTAAGTATACATTGTAGGGCTTTTGCTGCTCAGAGCCTAATGGTGTCTCAGTCCGTAGCTGAATCTGCTGCAGCATAACTAAGTAATTTGTATTTGCTTTTTTTCTACTAGGAAGCTACTGGAAGGTGAAGAGACCCGACTCAGTTTCACCAGTGTTGGAAGCATTACCAGTGGCTACACCCAGACTGCCCCAACTTTTGGCAGGTCTGCCTACAGTGGTCTCCAATCCAGCTCCTACTTGATGACAACCCGTTCCTTCCCCACATACTACTCCAGTCATGTCCAGGAAGAGCAGATTGAAATAGAGGAGACAATTGAGGCTGCTAAAGTGGCAGAAGCCAAGGCAGCCCCTGCAGAGGAAGGTGAGGAGGAAGAGAAAGAGGAGGGTGAGGAAGAAGCGGGAGGTGAAGAGGCTGAAGAAGAGGAGGAAGGTACTTGCAGTTAATTTCAAATCCCTTTTTCATGCTTCACCCTGCTCACATGGGGTACAACCCAGAAATCCTGATGACCAAATCTAGTGATTAGACCCCTCTCATTGTCTGCTCATGTGAACAAAGAATTGTGGAATTAAGCACACAGCATTTAAGCAGGAAAGGCTGAATATTGAATGGAAGAGAAGGTAAACATTCAAGATCAGGCAGATTATAGGATTGATTATACTCGCTTGGAAATCACTAGGTGTTTTTCCATTCAAATGTCCAAAACAGGGGATGATAATACTTAAACAGCGTGTAATGTTATATTCCTATGGCAGCAAACAGTGCTTGGCTGTTACAGGCATCCTCAAAAAGGAGGATCAAGGACATCCTGAGCTAAATACTAATTCCCAGAGAGTAGCCTGTGATAATAGGAACATCAGCTGATGTCTGTGGATAGAGCTGTTGGGTTCAGTGGACAGCAATATCTGTTGCCTTTGCTCCAGGTAGTTTTCTTGTTCTGCCAAAGTATAGGCTGCTTCCTTCTGCCCCATAATTTATTTATCAAACCTGCATATTAAAGAAAATGTAAAAGGAGTGTTATCCAGACTTGCTTTTTGCAACTTCAGTCGCATAGCTCTGAAGGATTTAACCTAAACTTATCTAAAATGCATTTGTTACTATTCAGCTATTCTAGGAGGTTATTAGTGTAAAGATTAATTGTAATGAAATGATAGCTGAAGAGCCAATTGGAGAGCAAGGGCAAGATTCCTTTTTGAACTCAAGTCTTTGGATAAGGCTTAAAGCAATAGGTCCACAGTCAATTAATACTTTTTAAGGCCATGAGTTTGAAAACCTATAAATTGTCTCACTCCTGATATCTAGGATAAGTTGGTTGTATAGTTTTGTGGTTCTGCCTCGCAAATCCTAGGTACATGTCCCTGTTTTCAGACAAAATCAGTTGCCAGCCCCATGGTGTTTAGCTGGCTGCCATGCAGATGTGCGAGGCAGAAGGGTGCAGGTGTATGCTGGCTCCCATTAAATTGGCTTTAGGAACAGTACATAGATGTGAAATACCTCTTTTTGTCTTTCCAAGGTGCTAAGGAAGAATCTGAAGAAGCCAAAGAGGGTGAGGAAGAGGAAGGAGAAGGGGAAGAAACAGCAGCTGAAGAAGGGGAGGAGTCTCAGGAAACTGCTGAGGAAACTGGTGAGGAGGAAAAGGAAGAGAAAGAAGCAGCAGGGAAGGAAGAGAGTGAAGTGAAGAAGAAGGCTTGATTTTTAGGCAGTCTAGCTTTCTCGTCAGGTCTACAGAATAAACGATGATTGACTGATCTAAAATTGCAGTCTCACATATTTAATTCAGTGACCACTGAGGTTTAAAGTTAATGATCTATGATGTTTCTCTCTGTGCAGAGTATCAGTATGCTTGCAGAGCACCCACTGGCTTGCTCCCTGAATGCTGCATGGTCTACACGTATGAATTCAGGGGTTATGTCTTTCTTGGGTGATTCAGAACCTTAAAATTTAAAATGGGGGAAAAAAAATAAGTCATGGGAATGAAAGTTGTCTTTCACTTGCATTTAAAATAATTGTGGAAACCTTGGGTGGGTAAAATAATGGAGGCTTCAATAAGTATGTGCAATAAAGCTAGTCAATAAAGTTACAGACATGCTTACACAGATTCCTTGTATGTGTCATGTGTCACTAGTGCACTTAAAAGGTTGATGAAGTGGTGTATCACACACATCATGTGTCATGGGGTATGGGATACTGGTTTCTGTCTAGCTGATACGTTTGGGGGACTAATAGGTGGATGAAATTCTTCCTGGGGCTGTAAAATTTCACGTGGAGAGATGACAATAGTAAATACACACTGGTGTCTGCGCTGTTAGCTTTGTGATGGGTCTCACCACACTGTCGTATGTGCACAAGGATGAGCTCCCTTTGGGAAAAAACGGAGAAATTTTAACAAACCAATACAGATGTTAAACATTGGTAGGAAGCTGTTCGGTGTCAGATCAGTGATGAAAGTGAAGAATGACTGGATGTAGCTGAGAGTTGGAGTAATGTCTGTATGCTTAAAGAAAAGGTGAGGTGTTGGAGGGAAGGACAATGTTGGGGGGGTTCTCTCTGCTGCTGGAAAGAGCTGCCTTTCCAGCCTGCTATCTAAAGTCAATCCACTATGGACTGAAGAGGCTCATTTTCTTCTGAGAATTTGTCAGGGCCTTTTAAAGTTTTGAGTGTGAGCTAAAAAAAGGTCTGACGTGTGATCAGGCACAAAACAGGAATGGTTTAAGTAGCAGCAAAGCCTAGCAATTTTTGAATGCAATGTCTTGGGGTCTGAGCCTATTTACTTTCTATTAGCCAGAGTTAACACATAAAATTAAACATTGTGCTAAGGGCAAGTACTAAACTAATGCTGCAAATTAAACCATTTAAAATAAACTAAACTCCTGGAAACCCATGTTAAAACAGGCATTACATGGCTGCACTAAAGCTTTTCACAGTCACCTTTAGCAAGATGGATTTTTGTATAGGATTTTGGGGTAACTTTTAATTTTGTACACTGGCTGCACAGTGTTGGTTGATTTGCATTGGTTTTCCTCGCTGGCTACGCTCAGAGAGAAAGGAGGTGTCTTTTTATAGAAATTTGAGGGGTGTTCCAAAAGCACCTCCCTTTTCAGTGTTAAAAGATGGTGATGGAAGAGGTAAGCATTTAAAATGATTCTTTTCTTCCACGTTCCCAGGAAAAACAGGAGGAGAAAGAAAAAGCAGCTTTGGTAAAACCGTTCATGAAACTGAGCTTGTATACATACGTATTCCAGTAACTCCTGTCCAGGGAGTTCTAGTATCATTTCCAAATGCTTGTTTTTTCCATGCCATGTGGCTTTTGACACTTTTGAGGCCCAGCAGACAAAGAGTAAATGAATTTTTACTTTCTTAAACAATGTATCTTTGAAGTCTTTTGTTTCACATTTCCCTTCTGCTTTTAATGGAGATTTTTCTACATGTGTTTGTGCAGACTCATTCTTACAAAGCAGATTTTATTTTCCATCTCCAGGAAAGCAGTGGGGGGCACTTGCAGCACCGTGGGCCAGAGACTTGACCGTGCTGTTTGCTCAGCGCTTTTAAAACTTTTGGGTGGAATTGCAGGAGAGCTGCTGCGTTCGGTATGTGATACCCTTAGTTCAAACAGCAGAATATTGAGTCTAAGGGAAGGGACTTGGGAACTCACCGAAGTGCGCTATCAGAAAATGCTTGGGATGGCACTTCACTGGGGAGAAAGGTTCTGCTCCTACAGAGCAAAAAACATGTTATGCACCAGGTCAGAACTCGTCACAGCCATTGAAGCCAAAACACTGCTAAATAGAATGGCATAGATTAAAGCCACTGCCCCATCCTGCCTTTCTCCAAGTGCTCTGAGCTGCTTTTAACTTTTCAATACCCGATTTTGCTTCCCCTTTCATGTCTTTTTTTTGCATACAAACTCCTTCTTCGTTCAGTCCTTTGTATGCTTTTCACTTCTGGGAAGCAATACAGCTTGCAGGTCTCCGAAGTGTTGCAGCCAGGCTGCCAGGGGTGTTCTCAAACCCGCACATTTAGAGATATACCAGCAAACGCATTTCTCCTTGCAGTGTATCTCAGTCCCATCCGTGCTCCTTATGTTATTTTTAATGTATTGCAGCTAGAGGAGAGATTTTGCGACTCTGCAGGAAACGTGTGAGTCACAGCCATGGCAATGCGCTGCAGAGTGACAAGCTGCAGTCACCGTCCAGCCTGGTTTGTCCCCCCCAGTCCTGCCTTGCTGCTAAGGTAAAATGGTGGGAGGGAGGATGGAAGCGTGCGTTTGCGTGCCGAGGTGCCCTCAGGGTTGTGGGGATTCTGCTGGCAACCCTTGGTTTACCTTTGAAAATCCAAGAGCTCGCTTTGACGCAATGCAGTAAAAGCAGGCAGAGGGAGACGTGGTAGAAACTTTAACCCAAGTTGCAGCTGCAAGCGAAGCCGCGAGTCGGTCCCTGAGTTTTCTCTTGCTGTTTGGGCACATGGGGTCTGGGTCAGGCCGAGATCTCATCACAGAGAAGACGAATACAAGGAGGTCCTGAATGCTTTTCCTGAGATACACATCCACACACTCTCGCCTTCCACTCGGCAAGAGGAGAAGTTGTACGGATACCATATCCAGATTCTAGGAATTTACCTTCCAGTAACTAAATAATTGACAATTCATCATTTACTGCCTGCCTAGATCAGTTATGGGTAGTTTAATCTAGAACAGAGAAGGAAGAAAGCCCACATGCGAATGGGAAAAGCACAAGCCCTGATGCCTGGAGAAAATTCTAGTGCCTGACTCAGCTCCCTGGCAAATGCAGCCTATTTGTGTTTTGTAACACTTCCCAGTTTGTTTCCACCTGGAATTTAGTTCTGGGGTGCTGAAAATCTCTTAATCATAGCTCTTCCACAAGCTGGTATGGTGTATCAAAGCTGGCATGGCTATCAAGACGCCCTCCAGCTCCTGAAGTCACAGACGTCTTGATAGCCCGCCTTAAAAAAGACGCATAAATCTTCATAGTAATTCCTTTAATTATTGTTTTTCTCTTCATGGAGTCTTTCGTATTGATCAATGAACTTCTGAGGCTGAAAGTAATTAATCCTTTCACTGGTTGTGCACAGTCTGAGGAAGTAATTGGTGCAGAACAGGGAGATAACACTATTTATGCATCTCTGCCCTGGAATTATGCTATCTTTTGAAACTGTTTGATTGCAGATGTCAGTAGACAAAACCTCTTGGCAACATTAAATATTAATTGGTTCTTATGGTTTTATAAATATTTAGAAATGTGTTAACCAGTTGCTTATTTCTCTTAGGACTTGATGGAAACATTTGCAGTGGGGAAACAGACTAAACTCGCCAATTTATTTTGTGTGTTAGAGCAGAGAAAAAAAATGCAGCTGTGGGTAATAAGTAAAGGCTGCAATATGTATTGGGTGGAAAAGGGGGGGAAATGAGGGTGTGTTGAAACTCACCGTGCCAGGCGCTTGCCTCCCTCGCAGACTTCTCAAAACCATCCAGGAAAGTCGATCTACCCTGGGCAGAAGTGTTGATACAGCCCCCTCGTACAAGAAACTGCAATCCTGGTGGGACTGCCAACGTGCAAGCCGAAACAAAACAACACAAATAATAGTCTCTAGGTCCTTGTACCTGTATCCCACCAGAACTGAAAAGAAAGCAGAACATGAAAAATAGCAAGCCAGTCCCACCCGCACCTGTGTAAGCCCGCATTGACAGTGTTCTCGAGTGTCCCACTGCCATCAACATTTAACTCACTGTACAAGGGCTTGGTGCCGAGGATGCCTGACTTGCTGTGCGGAGTTGTGGTAGCCCACCGGCTTTGCAGTTTGTGACATTTTGGCAGACCCTAGAACTTCTCTGGAAGCACATAAGCAGAACATTTTGTGTTAAATACTGCTCTCTGGTTTAGTTTTTGATTTAGTGACGGTGTTCCCTTGAAAATTTTGATTAAACCCAAGAGACAAATATCTTCAGTGCTCACAAACCGTTGGGCATTTCTATACTTTAATATAACTCGGTGCAACCACTTACTGACCAGAAGTGAGTGTGACTGGGCTACGTAATTTCTTATTCAGCAAGGTATAGGTATTTTTATGTCACATACACTTGTATGTATGTATGTAACTCACAAATAAGCTCACTACAGAGAAGCTGCTGTTTAATTTGCTAACTCTGCTTTAATTAAACATCACTCAGCCAGCAAGCTGTTGAGCACAGATTTCCATTATTGATATCAGCAGGAGAAACATTCATTACTTTGCTACACAAAGACATTGGGATTTATTTGAAAGGCTGATCTCCTGTGGACTTCTTACAATTTCTCCGGTGAAGAGCATGCAGAACCCTTTCAATTAAAAACTACTTGATCTTCAGTTATTGATAGAGTAAAGAATTGGGAGGCACTACCAAACCACAGATTTTGATCAGACCCTCAATTAGTCGACAGATTTCAGGACAGTCCATGTTCTGAACCCAGGCTTAAAAATTATTTGCACTTCTTTGCTAGTTATGGGAGGTAAGGCAGTAGCAATGTTCTTCATTTTCCTATTGAAATGTGGTAGAAATAAACACAATATTAATCCCATATTAAGACTTATTAGTTCCCTGAAGTGGAGGTCGGACCCTCCTTTTTTTCCCTTTGTTTCGTTTGCCTCCATGTATTTTCTATGTGGTAGAGTTTTAGAGGGCCATTTCATTGGCTTTCTTCTTAATAAAGCCAACATGCAAGTAGCGGTAGACACAGGCCAACGCTTAGGAGGCCTTTCTATTGGAAAGTAAAAACTGCTTTAATTTGCTTTTATCTGTCAGTCGTACCAGGTCTAATCTGACCCCTACTCAGCCTCAGTGCAGAGTCTGGAAGGGTGTCATTTCTACAGCTATTTTTGAATAGACAAATACATAAAAAAATAAGTTCAGAATATTTTTGATACTCAATACCAGCATAATCTCTGGGACATTTTCCTTTTCCCTGGAATTTATTTGCTCTCAATTTTGGAATTTCGTGTTTAGAGACAGATTGTACATGTTGATCATTTGAAACAGAGAATTGAGAAGGATGTTCCCATATAATTAAGGCAGGAGGGGAAAAAAAAATCAGAAGCTACCCCATTTTGATGAACACATGGTGTCTTGGTTAAGATTGCTTAATGGATCTTTGCACACTTAAGTGATGAAGGAGTGCCATGGAAGATACCATGACCAATTGTGGCTTACAGACAGGCTACATTCACAGGGAAAATCAAGGAACAATCTGGAAATCGCCACATCTTTAAGGCTCTCCTTAAATGTTGAGACCAGTGTGCAGGGAGGAATATCATGCTTGCCCCGGAGTTCGACGCTGTGCAAGCAGGATTGCTCAGGTAAGTGATGTTAGCAACCCATTGCTTACGGACCTTCCCATTGCTAGCAAAAGCAATTGCCACCCCTCTCAGCACCTGAAGGCCAGGCAGCAGAATTCAATAGATCCCTCTTTACTCTAGAAACCGTGGGATATGGCTCCTAAGTATCTGCTTAGAGCTGCCCAAATATTTGTGTTATGTTACAGGAAACTTGTTCATCATATCCAGTTCAAACTTGTTTTCTAAATGAGGACACCAAGGAAAAACCTCAAGCAACTTTTCAACCCATGCAACTGTGTTCCTGTCCAGGACAGAGTATCAGGCTTCAACGGAGGATTCAAGTTGGAAAAGAGTCACCAGACAAGTGATGTTTTCACTACTGACCTTTATTGAGCAAGAACTGCTGTGACTGTTTTACATCAAACAACAAAAGGTTGCATACTGTGCATGTCAACTAGGTTCTCCCATGAGCAAAAGTCCACCCTAATTGCACCAGTGAGGTAAACATAATTATTTATAAGTAGCTTTTTTTAAGGCTAGGAGAGTTCTGGTTCTCATGAATATTCTATTACTGTTTTCTGTTTGGTTTTGGCTCAGTTGGTTCTTTGCATAATACATCTTAAGTCGTTCCTCAGATGTGTCCCTCCAACAGCTCAGGAAATTCAAAAGCTTCCTTTGCACATTTCATCTCATGCACTATTATTAGTATTATTTTTAGATCCCCAAGCTCTGTGGAGGGAGCACATCTTGAGCCTGCATGCATTCCCCCCCTCCCCCATATTGCACAAAAAAGTAAAATACTGTGTGTCTGGAGCCTCCATGAGAGAACACGTTCTGCTTTGAAGCCGTCACTCACATGCATTTTGTAGCTGTCATATGGCTTAACCTTTTGCACCGACCCAAGCTCTTTAATTTAGCTATGATTTATTTTATTCGGTCTCTTTAACCTCTTTTACTATAGCATGTGAAGTAACTTTCTCCACTTTCTTGGTGGACACTAATTTCTCCTCAAAGCTTTCTTCATGTTCCTCTACCTTCTGAGTGACTGTCACTGACTTTGTGATATATGTGGTTGTACTGTCCCCACCTGCAGTAGTGATTTTCTCTGCTTTTTTGGTTACTACAATTTTCTCACCCTTATCATCAATTGGGCTCACATCTAGGCCATTGGTGACAACTCCCTTGTCTTCCTCCTCAGCCTCCTTCTCTTTGGATTCCTCCTCTTCCTTTTTCTCCTCCACCTCACCATTCACTGCAATGTCTTCTTTCCTGGACTCCTTCTCTACCTCTGCGCTAATTTTTGTTACCTTTTTGACAGTGATGGTCTCCTCCACCACAGCCTTTTCATCTTTGACCGGGGAGGCCGGCTTCTCTGGAGAACGGGGCTTCTCTGGAGTCACCGGTTTTTCTGGAGAGCGGGGCTTCTCTGGGGTTGCTGGCTTTTCTGGAGAGCGGGGCTTCTCGGGCGTCGCCAGCTTCTCCAGGGTCACTGCTTTCTCTGGGGTTGCAGGCTTCTCCGGCGTTGCAGGCTTCTCCGGCGTTGCAGGCTTTTCCGGGGGGGTCACCTTTGGTGTCGCTGGCTTCTCCGGAGATGCTGCTTTCGCTTCCTCCTTAGCTGGTTTCTCACCACCTTTCTCCACCTTCTGTTCTTTTCCTGCTTCTGCAGCTGTTTCTTTCTGGACAGCCTTGGCTGGCTCTGTTACAGGAGATTTAGGCGGGGATTTAGGGGGTGACTTTGAGGGAGGTGTTTTGACCTTCTCTAGCTTTGCTGCTACCTCTTCAGCCTTGCCCTTGGCCTCAGCTTTTTCTCCCTCTTCTTCAGCCTCCTCCCCTTCTTCCTTTTCCTCTATTTCTTCTTTTTCAGAACCACCTTCTTCTGCTGCATCAGATTTTGCAGCTTCTTCTTCCTCCTCTGCTTCCTCTTCCTCCTTCTCTTCTTCCTCAGGTGCAGCTGCTTTTTCTGCCGCAGCCTTCTCAGAAACAGCTTCTTCCTCTGCAGCTTCTTCGGCTTTTTCTTCCTCCTGTTCTTCTTGCTGGGCCTTGGCTGCCATTTCTTCTGCAATAGCTGCTAGGGCATCTTCCATTTCAGACTTCTCATCCTCTACCTTTGTCTCTTCAATGATTTCTTCTACAAACTTGTGTTGGACCTTCAGCTTTGGTGGCTCAATTTTTGTTTTCTGAATTTTAGTGGATGCTATTGTGACAGATGGTTGTCTGTGTGTGAATATGGGTCCAGTAATGCTTCCAGAGAAGGCACTGAATCTTGTCTCTTCGCCCTCCAGTAGCTTCCTAAGGGAATCAGGAGGAGGAAAAAAAAATATGAGCATAGAAACCTGATGTAAGGGACAGCTAGTAGAGTACTTACCTCTGTCAGCTGGATGAAACCGCTTTGTGTGTGGAATATGCTAGAGCTGACCAGCATAATCCATCACTCACACAGCCCCAGTTTGGCTTTCCTTGAATCAGCTCTTTTGCTAAATTCACATTCAGCAAACAGGTTTTAGCTTGGCTTGCACATGGCAAGTGTAACACCTTTGGCTGATCAGTTGAAATTCATCCTTCATGTCAAAAACTTTTGCATGGCATAAGTCAGCACAGAATGTGGCAAAATAATTAACTTCACAGGATGCAAAACAACTTAGACAAACTGATAATTTGACATAGCCAGACCCATATCAAATGTTGTGGCCAAGATATTCAAAGCCAGTTAGGGTCTATGTTCTAGCTTGATAGTTTGGGCATCCACCTTTTTTATGTAGCTACAAAAACTGCAGGCTGCAGAGACTTCTGTTCATCTAACTTTGGCAGCAAACAGCTATAGACTCTAGGGTATCCTTGTGTTTGTCTGAACAATCTCGGGAGTTTAAGCAGAGCTGGAGAGGGTATTTTGTTTTTACTTTTCTAATATTCAAATACGTGTTTTTCATCTAAGCCTGTGACCCAGAAAAATCAGCAGTTCTCCAAGGATAGCTATAAAGTAACTCAAAGGAGACTAAAAAAACCTGCCAGGCGATGGCAATAGCAAGCAATGTTCCTGCTCTGGATTAGAGTGGATGACTTTAAAGGAAAGTTGAGCAAGAAAAGCAAAAGTGTTTGTGACAGGCAGATTCGCACTCCCTGCTTGAAACCATGATCAAGCAAGTGCACTGTCCGTCTCAAGAGATAAAAGGGAATTCAAGTGACAAGCACTGCTTGCTTGGCATATGCAAAGCAACAGGAATTAAAAATAAACTTGCCTTTTACTGCATCTTCTGCTTTTGTAAGCAAGGGCAGAATGCGGCACAGGGTGCCACGGCACTGACTCATGGTACCCTGCACCCACTGGGAGCTTGGCCGCTGATAACCAGAGCGCTGATCCCTAACGAGCTCTGGGCTCTTACTGTAACGCTCCCTGGGTCTGCACAGGTTTGAAAACAGTTGTAATAATTTAGTCAAGCTCTGTTTTTGCTTGTGTTTGCTGCATGCAGATATTTCTTATCTGTGGTGAAGCTTCCCAAGCCAGCAGCATCTGCAGTGCTATTAATATTCCAGACATGTCTGCAATGATCCTACTGTACCTGTATGCAGCAATTTCAATATCCAGGGCCATCTTGACATTGAGGAGGTCCTGGTATTCCCTCAAGTGACGTGCCATTTCCCACTTCGTTCCTCTGAGCTCATTCTCCAGCTGATGAATCGTGTCCTGCAACGGGGACGCAGAAAACCTCAGTGACAGCTAACAGGAGCCAAAAAAGTTCTCAAAAACGACTTTGGGCAACTCTCTGCCCCCCCAGGAGGCAGTGCCAGGATCAGAGAAGCACCCACCCGGCTCCCCCCGCCCCCCCGCAGCACCCCGCTCCCCTGCGCGCACCCCGCGCTGGGTCCCCCCCGCGCGGTGCAGGGGGGGGACGGACCCGGGCCCCCTCCCCGCTACCTGGCAGGTGCTGAGGTCGTTGTTTTTTTTCTCCTCCTTGGCGGAGCGTATCGCCTCCTTGTTCTGCTCGGCCGCCTCGGTCAGCTTGGCGTAGCGGCACCTGAACCACTCCTCGGCCTGGTGCATGTTGTGGTCGGACTGGCACTCCAGCTGGGCGCGGATCTCCTTCAGCGCCGTGGTGAGGTCGGTCTTCAGGTAGTCCTTCCTCTCGACGGTGGCGTGGGACGCCTGGAGCTGCGCCAGCAGCTCGGCCACCTCCTCCTCGTGGTTGCCCCGCAGGAAGGCCACCTCGTCCTGCAGCGACTGCACCTTCTTGTCCAGCTCCGCCCGCATCAGCGAGGCCTCCTCCATCTCCTTGCGCAGGGCTCGGATGGTCGCCTCCGTCTCGTCGCGGAGCCGCGCTTCGTCCTCGAACCTCTCCCGCAGGCGCTGGATGTCCTCCTCGATGTGCTCCGAGTCCAGCTGGATCTGCGCCTTCTCGTGGCTCACCTGCTCCAGCGCCCCGCGCAGCTCCCGCAGCTCCTGCTCGTAGGCTTCGCTCAGCTGCGCCCGCCCGGCGTGCTTCTGCCGCAGAGCCGCCAGCTCCGCTTCGATCTCCTTGTTCTGCTGCTCCAGGTAGTGCACCTTCTCGATGTAGCCGGCGAAGCGGTCGTTCAGCCCCTGCAGCTGCTCCTTCTCGTTGGAGCGGCTCAGCTTCAGCTCCGCCGCGCCGTTCAGCAGCGAGGACTGGCTGAGTTCCCGGCTCTCCGCG